ACAAGCTTGGTGTAATGTAGAGTCAACAGTATGAAAACAGAAAGTCTCTGCAAGACTGGATGGTTAAATTATTACAATCATCAGCCATTTCAGTTTTTTTAAAGTCTAATTCTCAAATGATCCCTGAACTTTCTTAGTTTTGCACGATACGAGATAACCAAGTATGTGAGTTTACAAACAAATTCTAGTTAAGGTAGATGATATTAATGATATTTATGCTAAACAAAATTATTCAATTTCAGAAATTACATCATGATCTTTATTCTTACACATCAGTATGCTGTCCATATTAAAAAAAACTATCTACCAATATAAACCAATTATACGGTCGAACACTACTCACAGATTCACAAATGTCAGCATACGGACAACATGTTAAGAACATGTATTATGTGAATTTTATGCATTATGAGTTCTGAATTACACTTTCAACTGTGACATAGTTACTTTGCTTTCAGATTAATATGGTATTAGGTAAAGATTATTTAAACATGGGCAAATAAAAACAAGCAACAAAACTACTACCTCTGTGCTGACAAGGGAGATAATTCTCTGGTTGAAAAACATCTTTAATATTGTATATTTTATATATCGGGAAATAAAAGGACAAAATAGCAAGAATGATGATAGATGATTCATTTTGGGTACAGTTACATCAAATGTTTATACATGCATTAAAATGTGCAGATATTTGAATAATATAACAGTGGGAAGATTTGTTTTAAGATGCATTGTCAATCTTATTTTGAGTTGTCATATATTTTTATATGACTTTGATTTTCAATTTGTTATTGTGATTCAATTAAAGTAAGAAATTACTTAATTGTGGTAATAACAATCGCAGACATTTAAAAGAAAAAAACCATACTTGTTATGTATTTCTATAAACATTTTTCAGAAAGAGAATGAAAAGAAGATGCTCATTCAAGAACAAGACAACTTTGAAAAAGAGAAAGAAACACAAGCAAGAAGGAAAGAAGAAGCTATGAAAATAGCAGAAGAAGATGAGGAAAGGAGAAAGGTAAGACTCCACCAAAAGCAATTAGGAACAATATATGTTTGTATAGGATTTTATATCTTTGCAACAGATTAGGTCATTTTTATTTATATGACAACAGTGTCTGTGGATGACAGGGCCAGACTCGGCCAGTCAGAGACCACTATAAAATTCCATCTCACGGTGATGTCATAACCTGAACACAGTAGCATGACACCCCATCTGGTACAATCATTCAGATAAAAGGTTAACCAGAGATGTAGTTTATTACATTATTTTCTTCTTCTGGTAGTGGTAATGTCAAACCTATACTCAGTAAATGCCTTTAGTGAAGTGGACTCTATATGCAGGAACTGTCATTCTACAAGTTTAGTTAACATGAAACTAACTGCAATGGGAGTTAGACAGGTGGTCTTTTAACATCTATAGGTGATCTCTTTAATTTATAGAGTATCATTGGACAGGTTTAACTTCATGACTTAATGAATGTAATCAACAACGTTTTATTGATATTTGAGTTGTTTCCCTTTATAGGCAGAGGAGGAGCGTGCTAAGAAGGAGAGTTCATCACCAACGAAGTTGCCCCCAGTAATGGAGGCACAGGAACCCACAGAGGATGAGATCAAACCTTCAGTGGCCGCAACCCAGGAAGAGACTGCACCCGAGGCAACAGAGGAGGCTGACAAACCAAGCGAAGCAACAGAGACACCTGCAGAAGGAGAGGCAGAGAAAACAACGGAAGAGACGACAGAGGAAGCACCAAAAGAGGTACATACATATATGATGTACTGAGTCTCAGACACTTGTAGACTGGGCTTTTATAACAATTATTAAAATACAGCCCAGTCAAAAAAATGTTCGATGTTAGAATGTCATTTGATTTAAAAACTTAAATTTCTTCAGGTTAAGGCCTATGTCATTTTCAAAAGTGTTGGCTGCATTAAGCATGTGATCAGGTTTATAAACTAAGTACGATGGATGTTGCATATGAGTGGGTTTTAATTATGTAAACATATTTTTTCTGACTACAGGAGGAAGCTGAGCAAGGGAAGGAGGAGGAAGGAGAGGCTCCAGCAGAGGGAGAGGCATCCTAGATAGATATACCCAACAGTTCTAAGTCACAGAAATCAAAATATCATTCAATCATTGACAATGAGGCATTTACTTATGTAGTTAGGATATTAAATTGTTTGTGAAAAATCGTCTAAAGAAATGAAAAAAATATTACTTAACTTTTGAGTTATTTGCCAAAATATTTAACGATCTGGGATCAAATCAAGAGCTGTAGGCGGCTTAAGACAGATGTGTCGGAAGCACTGACTTACACAAGTTTGTAATAACTGGCCTAACTGTGATATCAAAAATTATAATGCAAACTGGACAGTTTCTTCAATCGTCTGTGAAAATTACTGACAATATACACACACCTCTGGAACTGTAACAAAATCTTGGCTAGGATGTAACTGTTAAAGTGTGAGTGGAAATGTAGGAGTGGAAATGTAGGAGTGGAAAAATGTGAATGTGATGATGAAAGTAAGGGAAGCAACTCTTGCATTGTTAGCCAAGATTACCAGTATGCATGTGTTTTATTATATTTATGTTGTATAATAAATTGCGAATATGTTGACATTAGTTTATTATATATTTCATATATTATGACAAATTGTCAAGAATGCGTTCTCATATATAGAAATAACAGTACATTTCAAATCAATTATTTTGTTTTTAAGAAAACCTTTCTATACACCGTGAATATCAACATCTGTTCATTGCCAGCCAGGTTTTCACATTGTTTTAATTCCCTACATGTTTCTCAGAGATGTTTAGACATGCAGAGCAATATATTCATGATATGAATTGTAATGATCACTGGAGAAGTAACAATA